TTCAATTAACTTCCAGAGGAGTTAGGGCACAAAATCGGGATTAAAAGTGCGTAGGAACCCATTCCTAGAAACGATGTCGTACGCGGATAGGAGCGCTTCTCTCTTATGATCTGTTCAGAAACACACGAAAGAACAGTTTATAATAGGAGAAGTGCTCCTAGCGGCCTATGACGACATAATATACTTTTAAACTTGTATATTTTAACAAAAAATAGACTAAAAATGTCATTTAAAAAAACACTTTCGCTTAGAGAGGAAAACTGATTGCAGTTTTGAAATCAGCGATACGAAAAGTATGTAAGATATGTTAAAAAAAAGTCTCAGTCACTCATCAAAAAAATAATTAGCGAAATGCTATAAACGAAAAAAAATATAATGAGCGAAATGCTATAAACAAAAAAATGAAGAAAAAAAATGTAATGAGCAAAATTTATATCATTTTGAATAAATAATAATTAAAAAAAAACAGCATAAATCAACTAGTGGAATTCATTTATCGAATTCTATCACATATAAAATTCTAGAAGGGAAGTAATGTGGCGTAACTACCACTATAAATATTAAATACTAATTCACTAGTATATAAGACATGTTAACTCTATTTAATCATGAGGTACCATTTGATAGATGAAGGTTGACATAGTCGATAATTGTAATCCCTACATATCCTTCTTACTTAATCAATGAAAATAATTTCATTGTTCTATTTTTTGCACAGTGTACAAAGAAGTTATTAAAAGCACTTAGAACATGTCTTCAAAATGCAACTAGTTCTTTATGTACCCACTTTTAAGAAGCCAATTTGAACTTCTGACAGAAGGCGTATAAAGAGAATATTGCATAATCGTGAGTGATTGTTTGAGAAACAAAGCATTTCTGAATAATGATCCCCTTCACCTATGCTTCTTTCCAATTTCATTTCATATACAATGATCTTTTTTTTCTCCCAAACTCGATGTTTTTATTCTTTGGTATCATCAACATTCAATCTGCGCGACCTTCATGAATCTCATTCTGTGTTTATAAGTGTGAAAACGTATGCGTGGTTTTAATAATGATCACGATGTTATGCGTTTATTATTCATATTTTCCTTCGAAAGAAGGTAGATTTCGAGGAAAAAGTATTTAATAACATAAAGTACGCCTTTCCATTGAGATATATCGCCAAATTCGGGAGAAACATTCTAAAAATATTTCTAAGCTCTTAACACCTTCATTTCGCAATGCTGCAACGACATACACAAGAAATAATTGTTTAATAAGTTAATTTTATGAAAGACCCGATAAAAAAAAAAATTACCATTTTATTTAAAGGATCTTAAAAAATTCTACAAAATAAGGAAATATAGTTTTTTGTTTTTATCAAGATATTTTAATATATTTCGCGCCAATTTCTTGTAAGTGACACGAGTTCATTTATTACAAAAGTTATTTGCATAAAATTATTTTTATAGAACAGCAATAAATATCCTATTTATTAAGAAAAAAATGAGACGCTGGTTTTCAGTACCCTTATAGAAATATTAGTAGCTAAGAAAAAGAATAAGCGAGTAATTTATAATAATAAAATGAAGAGGCAAACTCTTATAACTCCAGGAAGTTTGTAGCGTCCTGAAATTTGGACAATGGATGAAAGGAACAATTTCAGCCTCGCCCCTCCCCTCCATCCTAAAAATCGCTCAAACATTTAAGCTAGATCGTTTTTGAGTACCAGTTGAAAGATGGAATTTTCTCATTGGCTTAGAACTCGCCATTGATATAAATTGAAATGCAAACGATTATTTTTTTTCTCCAGATATTTTAATGATTACATCAGTGATGTTTTCGAGCTTATGGCTCTCCTTTATTAAAAAAAAGGGGGAGATTTTCGCATATTTGTTAATATCTAATTATTTTTTATTCGTTACGTCAGATAAACTCAACCATAAACACACTACAGCATTAAATTAGTATGTCTAAAATTATATGAAACTATGTGTTTATTTTGTTTATAGGTAAAAATGTGACCTATAAAAATAAGTAATTTAAAATCAATGATTTTTTAAACTAAAAATATAAAGTTATGTAACGAAAAACAAAATCAATGGATAAATAATACTAATTCGTAAAAACTGGTCATACTACTATTGACGCCAATGTTTGATTAATTTGATAAGTTATAGGATAAAAAGATTTGGTGCGCATTATTTTGGTTTCATTGTGTTGGGATTAGTTTTTCAGTTTAGTGCATGATTTCTTAGAGTCGTTCAGTATTGATTTTTTTCTCCCTTCTTTATATCTCGTAAGAAAAAAGGGTATTCAGCTAGTATTTAATAAACAGACAAGATGCATGAATAAAACATGTTTATTTTTTAACATTGAGAGGTCAAATTCAACAATCAATCAAAACACATTTTCAGTCTAATACCGCCAAATAGGAATTTTACTTTGACAAATAGGGGTTGTTCCAACACCTCCTAGAAAAGAGTAGGCCTCTGCACGGGTTACCATAAATATCCTTTAGTAGTCCAAACGTAATGACATATTTCGTATTTTCAACCACTGCGCAGCTTAGTACCCCGAACGTAATGATATCTTTCTTATTTTTCATCAACTGCGCAGTTAACTTCGTCACATCGGACTACTAATTTGATCCGTGCTGAGGCCTTCATTATTCTAGGAGGTGTTGGTTGTTCATGGTTTTTTGAGCGCTCTATTAATAATCAGGTCTGTTGTCATATTGGCAAGATTTAGGGGTAAATTTTCTGGTTAGTGATGGTTTATGAATATTATGAATATGAAAACATTTAAAAAAGAGACAGTGAAGCGGTTTCGACACCGTGAAGTATTCTCAGGTTAGTTATTCATATTAATTTCGATTTGTGTAATAGATAAAAACCACTAGAGGGATATGATTGCTGAATTTAACCTTCATTTTGATGTGAATATTTTTGGGTTAAAGGTTTTAGAGATCTGCCCATATATATATATATATATATATATATATACATATATAATAACAGGGCTATATCCCTGTTATCATTGTTGTATTCAGCTTTAATAATGCAGTCAAAAGCCACTATACGTTATAAAAAGGTTCATTTGAAGTTAGGCTGGTGGTCATAACAGTTCACATCCCCACTCCACAAGGGAGGGGGTGTGGACAAATCTCCGGATGGTTCCGACAGATGTTTATTGGACCTCGTTATTCAGCAAGAGACATGCGAAAACTATCGGTCCCGCATTAAATACTACAGAGAATGATGTAATTAGGTTCCAGTTGTACATACCTTTGTAACTCTACGCATTATGGAAAAATCATTTAATGCTTCCTAATATGGAAGTGAAAGAGGAGCAAGATTCTAAAAATAACTCCTCCTTTGAAATATAAATCTAATAATGATTCAATGGTATGTTTTCAGCCTTGAATTCCCAAAATAGAAGCGTAGAGATAGAAGCAAGAGAGAAGCGTAGAGATATTCTATTTTGGGAATTCAAGGCTGAAAATATACCATTGAATTATAATTAGATTTATATTTCAAAGGAGGAGTTATTTTTAGAATCGTTTCCTCTTTCACTTCCATATTAGGAAGCAGTAAATGATTTTCAGTGATGCGTAAGGTTACAAGACTGTGCCTTTTTACTTCAATCTGTGTTCGTATATAACACAAGAACACTAGTTTTCACATGTCCTTTTCATCATGTTGTTATCCTGATAAGCTGTTCCGGAATTGTCAGAAGTCTTGTCCACCCAGTGTGGATGTGACTGTTATAACCTCCAGGGATGTAGCTGTTATTATATATATATATACTTATAAAGCCATTAAGAATATAAATTATAACAATTTTACAGCAACACATTTTTTTTTATTGATCATAAATACCAAAATACAGTACAATGTTATATACAATGCAAAAGATTAAAATTTAAATCGCAGCAATAGAATTCACACAAATGACATTACACATGTAAATTCCTCAACATTTTTTTACACGTTATGACCCAGTCACAGAATTAAGATTTATTTTTACGACAATTAGCATCATTTTACTCATTAAAAGCATAGTTGTCACCTTGTAGAATCATTAAGGAAAATTTTTCTGAGTAGTAATAACATTTATTTTTCAAAGCAAAATTCTTAGTTCATAAATTTAAATTGTTTCATCCACTGTGACAAAGCAATAATCCAAATCATATGCATCTAAGAGCTATTAATTTGGCTGTTATGCTTTTAAATGTTGGTGAACAAATTTCAAAAAATTTTTGCTACTTGTATTATTTTTTCTACCATTTGGTAAAAGCTTTCCTAATGAAATACAAGTTGGCAAATATGTTATGATACTGTACGGCAGGGGTGTCCGAAGCAAAGTAAAAATAAAATAGAAATGCGAATTAGAAAGAAAACTAGCAAGTAAAATTAGAATGTATTTTATTTATAAACTATACGGATCATTTTAAATTGTAAGCGCGAAAATGTAAAATTCTAATTGGCTTGCGGCACCTGCCATTCCAGGGATACTGCATCGTATCAAAAATACGCAGAAAAAATTTCAAATCTTAGAACAGACTTTGAAACAAGGTTTAATTATTTTAATTCTTTGGAAGAAAAATTTTGTTTGTTTTCTTCGATTTTCTCAATAAATATAGACTCAGTACCCAGTAATATGCAAATGGATGTGATTGAGATTCAGTACGGCTCAAATTTGAAGGCAAAATTCATTGAAGTGGGTGTGACAGAATTTTACAAATATTTACTGGCAAGGTTTGAAAATACTCGAAAATTCGCACCCGAAATTATTTCCATGTTTGGAAGTACTTATCAGTGCGAGCAATTATTTTCTGATATGAATGGAAATAAATCTCCTGTCCGAAACTGTATTAATAACGCTCACGTTGGGTCAATTTTGAAAGTAGTGTCTCGGCCAATAAAATTTCTCCTGAAATAGGAAAGATAGTTGCAGAGAAGAGATGTCAAGTATCAAACTATAATTTAACTTTATATATGTTTATTACAATATACTATTCAAAATAAAAATATTTGTTTCTATGTAATTTTTTTTTTTGCGGCCCACCTAAAGTAAACAATTGTTTATTTGGCCTAAGTTAGCTTCTGAGTTTGACATCTCTGCTGTACGGGACAAAGTATTTAACTTAGAATGAGCTCGGATATGTAAACTTAAATCATATTTCCGGAAAAAACTCTTTTCACAAATGAAACAAGAATAGGGCTTTACACCAGTATGAAAAAGACTATGCCTTGTTAAATAATTTTTTCGTGAAAAACTCTTATTACATGTGATGCAAGAATAAGGTTTTTCACCCGTATGAGTAAGAATGTGACTTTTTAGGGTGGAATTTTGAGAATAACTCTTATTACATATCGTGCAAGTATAAGGTTTCTCACCTGTATGAATCACTGAGTGACTTTTTAAAGCACTTACCTGAGTAAAGCTCATATTACATGTGCTGCAAATGAAAGACTTATCACCAGCATGAATAGCGCAATGAACCATAAGAGACCGTTTGAAAGAAAAACTCTTTTTACATACGTCACAGGAGTAAGGTCTCTCTTTGGTATGAACTCGACCATGAGCATTTAAATTACATTTTTGAGCAAAGCTTTTTTTACATATATTACAAGAATAAGGCCTATCGTTGGTGTGAACTCGATTATGAGCTTTTAAGTTACACCTACGAGAAAAGCTTTTTTGGCATACTTCACATGGAAAAGACATACCCAAAATGGTAAATGCTTTTTTATATAGAGACAATTCTTGGTGTCAACAAATAACACAAAGAAGAGATTCTGAATTTAATTGTAAACACACTTATGTAAAAATGTTTTGCTAATCAAGGACTTAATAATGTTTATTTTAATTGAAAAATAATAATAAACCCATTCAAGTTAATATAAAGGAGTCAAATAATCACAATAAAAATACAAAACAATTAAATAATATTAAATTTAAATATATAACAGCAAGTAGTTTATTTTAAAAATACAGTTTACCATCCTAAATATAAAAAAAACTAGATCAATGAATAGAAAAACAAAATTGACTATATTTTTATAATGTGTTTATGAAGTATTCTTAACTTCTAGGAATTTCTTTAAAATATGTAACAAACTGAGATTTACTATGGAAGAATTTAGCAAAATTCAGAACTCTCTGAATGTGTCCAGGTTTTTCAATCATTTCTCACCCAAAAAAGGACCATACTTTTGTTTTTTATTTAACACTCTCAAGTTAACATTAAAATAATTTCAGAGAACAATTTTCCAAAATATGAATAAAATTATACATAAAATGCATCAATGTCTGAAATTGCAATTAAAAAAATCTTCGCTTCTGACTAAACATTGTAACTGTAGCAAGTGTCTTATGTGGTGCAAGAGATGAGCTGGTTTCTTTTGGATTTGATGATGGCAATGACTAATCTTCTACACACATTTAATGCGAAATCCAAACATTCTTGACTGAGATATCTAAATAAAAAATTAAAAAGGTGGTACTATCTTACATTTAAACCATGTTCTATAGATAAAGTTTCTATAGATATTTTAATTTTATTTTATAGCTCTTAAAAAATCGGTAATAAACTCTTTTTATAAAACAGATAAAGAAAACTGCAAAAGGAAAATACTAAAACAAATTAGTAATATGAGTGGAAGAAACCATTAAAAACTAAGGGATAGGACAAACAAATTTTAGGCACACTGAGAGAAAAAGAACATCAAATTTATAAGACATTCATAGAAATTGCTGCAAAACAAGTCTTAATGTGACTGTTGTAGATGCAGAGCTGTATTTTTAGGTCAGCTTGTTTCAGAATTCAATAGAATAAATTAAAAAAAAAAGAAAGGTAAATACCCAGACATTTTTTAATCTAGTCCAAGTTCCATCTTATTTGTGATTAAAAAGCATTAGTTCATATGCTGTTAAACCCAATTTCTTTCAACTAAAAAGTGAAAAACCATTAGTTCAAATACTGTTACACCCAATTACTTTCTAACTTAGAGCGAATCTTATTAAGTAATTATGAGTTTGTTACAACAAAGAAGCCATTCAAATGCAAATCAGAAGCAAAAAATTATTAAAAAGTTTGCTTCAGCTGAACACCTAATTTCTGATTTTGCACACAGTATCAGATACTGAGATAACAAATGCCCATTTAAAGCATGTTCATTTTTTTAATGCATTGAAGAAAAAAAAACGGGTAAGAAAGACTTCAGAGTGCACTGGTGGCATTAATTGTCAAAAAATATTACATATTACAAATCAGAAGCAAAAAAATATTAAAAAGTTTGTTTCAGCTGAACACCTAATTTCAGATTTTGCACACAGTATCAGATACTGAGAGAACAAATGCCCATTTAAAGCATGTTCATTTTTTCAATACATAGAAGTAAAAAAAAAAAAAAAAAAGAAAAAAAGGGGGGTAAGAAAGACTTCAGAGTGCACTGGCCGCATTAGTTGGCAGAAAATATTTATAAATATGTATTATTAACATTTTTACAAATATATTTTGCAAGAATCACAACACATTATCTGATTATAATTAAATAACATAAGAATGCAGGTTAAGGTATCACATTTAAAGCATTATTAAGTAACATCCAAACCCAGATGTTTTAATTTATCAGGTAAAATAGCTTTTTAAGGAAACCTTTTTATAAGAATTTTTATAGTTTCACAGTTAAGTAAATAGTTAAGAAGATTTGGTTTAGAATGGCAGATATTAGAAAATTTGAAATATTAATATCATAATATTGCCATAATTTAAGTCAAAGTAAAAAAAAATATATAAATTATCATTTATAAGTTATAAATTATATATTTACATCTATAACAAAAGTATCAAATTATTCATTCATCATTAATATATAATTAATAATTTACTCATATTTTGTAGTAATCCAATATTTTTTGCCTCTTCCCTTTTCCATTCAGATATGTTTTATAAATTTGTCATACTTCTAAATTTTTCATGTTCAAGACTACAATCTCTTAAAGGATTTAATTTATCTCTTAAGGGGTCTTTTTTTCCTGATATGTCTCAAATTGTTGAAAGCTCATTCATTGTTTCCAATCACCTAGTACTGCAATATTATTACCCACAGAAAAAAACACCTCAAAGCATGTTTTTTTAAAAAAAAAAAAAAAAAAGATTGAGTAAGAAAACAAGCATTTTTCAATGTAATTGACAGAGATTTTAACAATGCATATTAATGTAAAAAGATTGACAGAAGCAATTTTTTTAAATCACATTTTTTACAGTGATAGAAATGTAATACATCCTTAAAAAATTCTAAAAAAAAATATAATAATAATAATTTTTTTAAATTTTTCCTTCTATTTACAAATTTTGAATTTGTCTACAAGCTAGAAGAAACTAATACATTTTTGAAAAACCTTTTACATGACTTATTTATTTTGTAAATAAAGCAAGCTAGAAGCCTTATAGGTAAAACGAAAAAACTTAAGTATGATGTTTTTTTCAACATTTAAATTTTGGTAGAACATAATTTCCAGGTTATTACATATCTGTTAGAGTTCATTCTTCAAAATGAAAGAAAATTTCATTGTTAAAAAATACTATTTCTCACACACAAAAATACAAAATATTTATTTATTTATTATTTTTCAAAAAAATGTTTAATTTTTCTATTTTACGTTTCTAAATATTTATGTCACTAATAACAATTTTTTTCACTGCTCTGATCCCTCAAAGATTAAAAGTTAACAGTTCTTTTTATCTCAGTAATTGAAAATAAGTTACTAATAGTTGAGCATATGTAAATTAGCTTGTCAATACTGGTGTAGACTTGTTTCTAATCATCAGGGAAATAATTTCAAGATTTGTTGCTTTTTAATAGTAAGTTGTCATTTCTATAATGTAAATATACAAATTATATTCTAATTTATTTGTATAAGTCATCTTGTGAACAAGCAAAATCTCCTGTTTTTTGAGTTTTTGAGAATAAAATTTTATTAATTATGAAAGTGCTAATTTAAAATGATTTCTTTATGTTCCCAAACTATACTTTTAAAGAAGCTAGTTTTGAAAATATGTGTTTTTAGAAAAATGATCGACCATTTACAAATGACGTATCTAATTGTCAAATTATTTGACAAATATCAAAGCTGCAAAGCATTAATTTTCTGATGCAAAAAATTCCAGTGTAACGAAACATAGATCAATGTTAAAATTCAAAATATTGGTGTAACAAATATTTGATATTGTGCTTTAATCTCTTGGAATTTGATAAAAACGTAATTCGACATGAAACAAGAGTTTGTTAAAGACAGAAAAAAAAAAAAAAAAAAGAATTTTAAGTCCTGCTATTAACAACATTTCTAAAAGCATATAACTAATTTGAAAGACATAGGTAATAAAAACATGTTAAGAACCTGAAAGTTAAATATATATATGTGAATCAACTGACAGAAATTCTATGTAAATACAAAAACCCAATATGTTTAGTGAATTTGAAACATGCATCCAATGACAGATTCCTTTTTATATATAAAAATATATTTTAAAGAGATCACATTTTATAATATAAAACATTTCGTTTAGGGTCAGCTTCAACACTTATATGAAGAACTTTCATTTCATATAGAACAAAAACAAGTCGTTTGATAGGTATAATGAAAGATGTTCTATTTTATTCAAAAATATGACTGTCGTAAAAAAAAAAATTTAAAATATATATTAAAAAAAGTAAAATTTTACACCCGCATAAAAATATTGTATACTAATCAAGAAAAAAATTTTATGATAAAAAATAAAGATCTTAACATGTATGAATAAGAATGTGCCTTTTTAATGTAAAATTATGCTAGAAGCTCTTATTACATATAGTACAGGAAAACTGTTTTTCACTAGTATGACTTAGCGTGTGACGTTTTAAGGATAAAAAATACAAAAAAACTCTTTTGAGAAAATCGTTTTTTTACATATGTTGCCTGAAAAAGTAATTTCTTTACAGTGAATAAGACTATGACTAATTAAAAAACTTTTTTGTATAAAACTCTTACTACATATGTCACAAGAATATGGCTTTTCTTTGGTATGATTGAGATTATGAGAATTTAAAAAGGACTTTTGAGTATAACCTTTTTTACATATGCTGCAAGAAAAAGGTTTTTCGCCTGTATGAGCAAGAGTATGTCTTATAAAAGCAGAATTGCATGAAAACCTTCTATTACATACATTACATAAATAAGGCTTTTCCTGTGTATGAACTCGACCGCAAAGTTGCAAAGAACTTTTTTTTTTTATATATGTCACAAAAAAAAGATATTTCTTTAAATTAAATAAGGCTTTAAATAAAAATTGTTACTGTTAAAACTATTTTACACAAAATATATACATAAGGTTTACTAATAGCAAGAAGAAAACCAGTAAGTGTTTTTAAAAAAAAATTCTAATCAACAATTGTTATGAATAAATAAACCAATTATATTGTTAATAAAAACCCTTGTCAAGTAAAAAATTATTAATCTCAAGCATCAAAACACTAGAGCTAAAAGCCTGACTATAAACATAGCTTCAAAGATTGTATAAGAGATGATAAAAACATAAATCTGAATTATTCTAAACCAAAGAGAATTTTTTTTCAATTTAAAACTATTAAAATGTTTAAAAAGAGATTTCAAATTTCAGAATTGAGATTTATTCCATACTACTCATAAAATATCATAAATATATACTTCTAAACATAACAAATTTAAAAATTACAAAAGAAATCAAATTAGAATAATAACCTTAATATTAAAAAAAAAATTCTACTCAAAATCAAGAAAATCCAGAGAAACTACTAAGAAGATCCTCAATTTTAGATAGAGTATTCAAGATTGGCAGACATCCAGATCTAATGTAATAGAGAAAGTTAATTTTAATGGTTAGTTGTGGATTTCATGATCTGTATTGTTAGTCCACCACATGCTTCTAATGAACAGCCCAAAGATTCTTGATAAGGTGACCTAAACAGAAAATTATAACATCAACAATTAAGCTCAAATTACAAAAAAGCAATTTTATCATAAAAATGACGATAACTCAATTAAAAGTATTGGAAATAAAACACCGAATTTCTAAAGACTCTCTTATATAAAATGTAACATAGCATATTATTTCTTTATAACACTCAGTTCATACATTGAATTTCAGAACTACTTGCTCAATAGAAATATTCAGTTACTTGTAAGTTTTCAAAGAACATTTAAACAATATGTATCACATCTATGAATTATAATTGCAATGGTTCAGAAACATTTCCAATTAATCTAGACTATTTTAGATGTTAACATTTCCAATTAATCTAGACTATTTTAGATGTCCTATAGTTCAATATTTATTTAGAAAAATGGGATAAGTTTTCTTCCAGATATTTTTAAATAGTAAACATATTTACAGGCAGCAAAGCTGTTGCCTCAGAGCATCAACATTATTGAAACTTACAGCTATTATTAATGCTGTTATAATTTCACAGCTTTAACCCATATCATTTCATCATTAACATGTAAAGAGCTTTTGCAAGCACCATTTACATTCATTGCTATATTTTCAATAGTATTTATAATCTCAAAAGAAAAAATTATTCTTCAGCAAATGTAACTTATTCACACTTATAACACCATCAACATAAACAAACACATCATTAAGTTTCCCTCCTACATTAGAGAAGATAACTTTTCCCCATCGTTTATCATGTGTGATACAAACAACAATCTACACGAAAGAATTACGATTATACCATACATTTAAAGATTTTAAATAACAGCCAAGCTCTCATATTATTTTAAGGGAAAATTAATCGCTGTCTTTTCCTTCATCTTCAGTACTTTCTAGCAGTACTTTGCTGACAGGGACATGAGGTGTTGGAATTAAACCATTTATATCATCTAAGCTACTTTTAAAATCAATTTCAACTTTATACTCATGCTTTGCAAAATACAGGGTTATTCATAATCCCCTCCGGGCAGGAACTGGACTATCACATTGATGTATGCGGAGTGACCAAGGGTTCACACATAGAACACCTGTAATGTATGTAAGTAAAAGTTGAATAGTTTCGGAATAATTTCATATGTTTCTTTTTTTCATATTCGTCTTCTTTATTTTACTATAACGCTTCGAAACCCCGGACACAATTATGAATAACCCTGTATATTTGACATACTCTTCAGGTGGAATGGAATTAGTTACAGACACTGAATGTACAGTAGTGTTAGAAATATAAATTGCAGGCATTTTAAATTCAACATTAACAAATTGTTCAAATGATTCTGGTATTTGATCAAATGAGGTTAATTCTGAGCAAAGCAAAAATAACTGCTGTGTATATATAATTGCCTACAAAAGAAAGATTTTCAAATTTTCAATTTCAGTATTTTTAGTTCTAAAATTAGATGTCTAATAGTTCAGTCAGGTATTCCACGTCTACCTAAAGAAGGTTAAGGTAAGTTAAATTATCAATAAATTTTAATTTACCTTGACCTTCTTTAGGTAGATGTGGAAAACGCTAAACTACAGCATGGAAGGCATGTTCATATTCTGCTTGACCTGCAGATACTTCTACAAAACTAGGATCCAGATTTTGAGCTGCTCCAATAATATGTTTTAACCGCTATTAATACAAAAATAATAAAATTTATAAAAAACTTCATCTTAATTTTCTTAACTATTGCTGTTAAAATAAATAGAAATTGGATTGAAACAATTGTTTTAATCATCTCAGTTAAAACAAAACAAAACAAAAAAAATCCAATGATTCAAATAAAAAATTTTTTAAAATTTAATTTTATTGATCTTTGAAAACTAAATTAAAATGCCCCACAAACATGTTAAAAAGAGAGTCCATCAAAATAAAAATATGGTCTAGAATGTCATTAATATGGTAACTAAATGTATGCAAGAATAACTTAATATATGCAAGAATAAACGAAAATTATAAAGAAGAGACACAATAAACAAGGTGACATAATGCACAGCATCCTCCAAAGAAAGGAACATTATGGATCAAATTTTAAATATACAACCTTTTTAGAATTTAATAACTTAACTATTTAACTGATTTTGTTTCAATTTTTTATTTTGCCATATAAAATGATTTTTTTTTAAATAAAATTTTGTCTATCTTATAAATAAATTTTTTTTATTAATACTATTATTAAATAAAATAATAAATAATTGCTAAAAAATTTTTTTCTTCATGAAATCATCATTGGATAAACAAATTTCATAATTGTTCCCAAAAACTCTTTGGCTCACTTAAGTTTTTGCCATATATCACAAATACTAAAAAAGCAAAATAAACTTTCAGAGGTTCAAACTTTCGACCACTGTCCTGACCAAACTATTGGAATCACAATTTCCAAATCATAGCACCCTTCTACATTTTGAGTGTCAAAAATCTAAATCCATATTAAAATGTTTATTTACAGAAAGTATGTTTTTGTAACTTAAGCTATCATCTGCTGTAATTAATTAGTATTTCAGGTTGAGCCCTCAAGTATGTAAAAATCATTTTGGGTTCAAGTATATTGGGTTCAAGTATGGAAAAACCAGATCATTAGATCAAAAACTATTCAGATTATACTTATTTTGCCTACTGTACAATGGTATTTAAAAATCCTTATATCTTTTGAAGAAATTGGTAATTATTTGTAGCCATAACATGATATATTCCCTTGATAGAAAAAAAAAATATTTAACTGATGAATATTTGAATGAATGATAAATATACACCAATGAAAATTTGAATCAATATCAAATATAAATTGATAAATATTATTAATATCAAGCTCTAATTAATCAAATTCTGTAGATAGTTTTGCCGTGTAGAAATTATTTATGGTTCGCCCATTTCATTGAAAAGGGAAAAAATTGCCACAGGAAGAAATACCGTGTTTCCTTCCAGAAGAAACTGTTTCCAGATTTAAATTGTAGTGATAACAATTGATTTCTAATGCATTTTAACATGTTTTAGCCAACAATTTCAAGAAGAAACTGAAAATTAGTTCTTACAAGAGAAATGAATTTATTGACACAATTAGCAAAAGGAAAATAAATTTAGAATAAAATGCAACGATTCATATCAAATTTCATTGTCCATAAATACTTAGGTCTATTCTAGCAGGTTGTGTACAAAAATGACACTAAATTAATACACATAGATTATAAAAGTTTGTTAAAAAAAATATTTTAGCATATTTAAATGTTCACATAAAAAATAATTATAGAAAAGGTCACTATTTCATATTATGAGAAATTCTATCACAAATCTCATTTGATTTATTAATAAAAAGATATATTATTAAATATATTAATATTTCACTAAGAAGGGAATATTTAGTTAAAAAGAAAAAATTAAACATTAGGCTAATAAATTTAATAAAGTTTGCCGATAATTAATGTTAAGCAACATATTACATCTTACACATATATAGAATGATTTCTCTGTCATGATCTGAGGCGGAATAATCGCAACTTCTGGTCAGTAGCCTGTGGGAAACTAAAAGAAACATTACAGAAAAAGACCAACTCAAACTGTATAACTCGTAACCACCCTCGAGCAAGCATTTATATCGATCTATTTCAATAGATTTAAAACTTGAAATTTTTTTAATAAAAAACATGTAGATGTTTCCCAGGGGGTAGCTACAAGTTATACTTTTCCAGTTGGTCCCTTTCTGTGATGTTTTTTTATTCATTTTTCGCAGGCCACTCCCGGGAAGTTGCCAAGACTTTGCGATTATTCTACCACAGATCACGACACGGAAATCTTCCCTCAATGAAATCTAAAAGTCGTTGTAAAATATTTGTGATTTTCCAAAGTAAAATTATATCTGATAAATAAATCTCATTTATAAACAATCTAAAAAAAATACAGTCCGATTTTCATTATTATTAGTCTTAATTTAAATACATCAATGGAAATAGGTTGGTTCATTGATAATCAACACGATATTAGTGTAATCAGCTAATAATTGGTAAATGTATGAAATGAAACAACTGTATCTTGAACTCTGATAAACAGAATGATAAACCGGAAAATTAAAACTACGCACAAATGCAGAAAAAAAAAGAGAATCTAAATATATAAAAATTACAATAAACGAGACCCCCAATAAACTGTGAATGTGACTAACTTTTAATCACTATGAAAATTGGAAGAATCAAACAAAAATCATTTTTTTTCCGACACAAAACGCAAGCAAAAAACGAAAACTAACTCCGGTTGCTTATTTCTGGTAAGTTAAAGAATAAAACTTTTATTGCCTAACGAACAAACACACATTTGTTGAAATGACGTCAAAGTTTTCAGGGATTATTCTCCTTGCCTGAACGGTGAACGTTGAAATCACTGATCTAGTAACTAGTTTTTACACTATAACCACGCCCTCTAATGAACTGCGGTGTCTCTTTTTAATGTAGTTGCTTCTTTATAGCAGCTGTGCATAATTTGTTCTTTTTTTTATTTGATTTTTATAAGTTGCGATGATTAATAATAATTGATAACATTCAGTCTCTTTGCCAGAAAAATCTGAAATTCACAAATTTTATGACACATTCTTTTTCCAGATTTTTTAAAGATTTATAATTTGTAAATTTCAAAATTAAAAAAAAAAACTGATATGTTCTTAAAATTTAATTCTTTATATCATACTGAAATTCAAGTATTTGAAATAAAATAAAACACAGTTTATGTACTCACAAAAAATAAATAAAGAAAATTTTAGTAAACATTCCAAGCTAGTCGAAACATTAAATTTCATATAAAGCACAAAAAATTGGAAAATGATAATAATTGCTGACATATAGTCTCATTATTACCTGTTAGCGTTCAATTAGCATGCTAGTAAAGCGTTTTTTTGGTTTTCATTTGTGTGTAATGGAAATTCTAATTATTTTCATTCAAGAAGTCCTTCAAAATATGATTTTATTCCTCTATTTCAATTACAAGGTATTTTGATATCTGAGTCGTGTAAGTCGTGTTAAAAGTTAAAAATATAAGAAAGTGTTTCACAACGTCCACTAAGATGACAAAATGTCTTTCAAGGATGATAAGAAAAATTAATGGTTAAAAAAATAATTCATTGCGACAGTGAACATTTAGCTGTAATGTTATTATTGTTCAGTAATCTAAAAGACTTTGTCGCGGTTTTCCTTTGCATTTAACGCAACATTGATATATATATATAGATATATATAGTCCCGCAGTGGACTGATCGTTAAGACATGGTTCCCAGCTGATCACCGGATGATCACCGGAGTCAAGCATCACTAGCTGTGGCCAGTGTGAGGGTGAGTGACCACTTGAATTAGTCTGCGTAGGGACCGAGGGTGCGCATTATCGGTCCTAGTTAAACTGTTCTACCGTAAAGCGCTAGACTTCGCGTGCAGGTCGTTGGGCTACCGAAGAGGGGGTCGAAATTGTGATGGCATGTCTTCGGATCATCCTCAGGGTTGTTTCCCAGACAGTCGCCAATAGCCCATTGTGCAGTTCTAGTGCGACGTAAATTAACTACAACAACAATAATNATATATATATATATATATTATAATAATTTAAATATTTAAATAATTATTCGAGCAAAGGCATTAATAAAGATCGGAAATTGATGGAAAATTTAACAAATTTACGGTTGCATGGCTTATATTTTGTTTAAAAAAAATGTGTCATAATATGCATTTTAATTATAACGATTTTAAAACAATAATAGTAAACTAATGAAATTCAGAGGGTTTTAGTTTTGAACTCGTTCTGTTAAATCATATGTTTAAATATAAAAAAATGCTAATATAAACATCAATGCTTCAGTTATATTATAACCAGACGCTTCAAACTAGTAACCATGGTTGAATAAGGGGCATCCTGGGATTATTGTGGACTATCGTTGCTGCAATCCTCATATCAGACGGTGGAGCCGGCGGTGCATGGACACTCGAGGGTCCATGTCTCCGAATCACGCACGACAGAAGCAATACTTTGCATCGACGGATAAGGGATGCCGAAAGGGACAAACCCGAGTCGGTGCGGCAGTGCCAATCCCGGCTGCAGAGTGCGTCACCAGGAGGTTGAATAAGCAATTATCCCAAGTTCTGAAAATCGAATCTGAACAAAACCAAAACTGTAGTATATAATTGCTCGTAATCTGAATGATCTCTGGTTTTAAAACTTCAATAAACGAACCAATAAATTATGAGTGATGAATAGACATCTTTATGCAATATACAAAATAATATACTGGTTTTCAGAAATAGAAAAAAATTCAGAATTTAAATCAAATTGCTTTTTAATTCGCTATCGCAACACTCGAATACGACATCTGGGGAGAGACCGGTTTCATGCCTTTAGCCCTTCTCAATTTCCTCTCCTCCTTTCCTCAGTTGTATAGGAATGTACTACGATAATTTCCTTTTTCTTAATATTTTCCCCTTTTATTTAATAAAAATATTTTTTAAAATTTCTATGATACTTTTATTTAGAACTATGTTTAATGTAGTTTTCAGTTCCATATAGTTTTTTAAGTTAAAAGATTTTAATCTATGTGAAAATCAAGAGAGAAACTAACGTACTTCCTTTCTCTATGACTTTCCACACGCTAATGGGGAAAGCATGTGAAGTATTGCCATAGGAAAAGAGTTCTGCTCTACGCCACCTGCAGCCCATTTCGATCGCCAATGATCAACACTGATTACGCGCAATGCTTAGGTACGGCGTGGATGACGAAAAATAATCTATATCATGACGCGAACGCCACTTTTTGTCCGTAAAACCGGTCTGTCAAAAGCATTTTGCTTTTCTAAAACCCCCGGGGAAGAGTTAAATCTCCGTATCCCGTATATTAGTCTATACTATATTTGATGTCTTTTACGCATGTGCGAGCTTGCTGTTGTTGCAGTTAATTTACGTCGCAATAGAGCTGCACAATGGGCTATTGGCGACGGTCTGGGAAACATCCCCGAGGATGATCCGAAGACATGCCATCACAATTTTGATCCTCTGCAGAGGGGATGGCACCCCCGCTTCGGTAGCCCGACAACCTGACTGTGAAGTCGAGCACTTTACGGTGGAACAGTTTAACGAAAATCAATTCCGCACACCCTCGGTCCCTACGCAGACTGATCCAAGTGGTCACCCACCCGCACGCTGACCTCAGCCAGTGATGCTTGACTTCTGTGATCTGCTGGGAACCGTGTCGTAACGATCAGTCTGAAGCGTAATAAATAGCTTGAAGAACAGAAACATTAAATAATTATAATTTACATTTATTTACAATTTATACATGACTAGTTTAGTTTAAATGCGGCATCAAATATTTAAGATGCGAATAAGAAAAGATATAATAATAGAACAACATTAAAAAGCAATTCTGAAAAGTAGGAATTAAAGTTGTAGTTAAAACAAACTTAAAGTTATTAAATAATTATAATAACATTTAATGCAGAATATGATCTGGGATGACACGTCGCTTCAAGTCCACTCCAACATTACAGCATCATGGCCACTTCAAAGAAAAAAAAAGAAGAAAAAACTCAAAAATGCAAAACGACCCACCAGTCACCAGCAACGAGTAAGGTCACGAGGCTGTCCCTCTAAGCCACAAACCGTTTCTGACCTTTTACTGCTAGTTTCCCAGCCTCAATCATTAATAAAACATCAAAGCTATAAACTAATGCAGAGAGCTCGTCAAAGTTATCAACAATATTGTTTATCAACAAAAACGAGTAAGAAGAGCAACAAGCAATCTCGATCATTTGGAAAGTTTTGTAATTTGTGGTGATTTTTAAAAGAAATTTCGACTTCGCAGCATAATTTGCCTTTTTAAATAAAACTGACTACAAAATCGGTGTAGATAAAGAAAATTCAAATTCTTAACTTAATCAAAGTATGAAACTTAAAACTTTAGAGAGTATACTTCAAACCCTAGATGCATTTGAAAGACCTAATATTGAATTAGAGCAATACACTACCAGTCCTCATATTACTGGTAAATTTAAAAATATTGTTTAGTTAATTGTTTAATTTTCCTGCAAAACTGTATCATTAAATGTGTGAAAAAAGATTAGATTTGTATTATAGCTATCTATATAAAGATTTATCCTAGACTTACCAGTATCATCTCATCAGTGTAACTCTAACGCAACGGGAAACATTTCTGTACCAATACTTAAGGCAAGCAGTCACCAACATTTGGCAACTCCAGCCAGAGTTAGGTTTTTTGACATGACATGTCAAAATGTGTAAAAACCATGACTAAAGTTCTTTTTGGTACTTTTTCGTTATCTTTGGCGCAAGTAATTTTGGCTGTTTTATCTATTTATTTAGAAAGAAAGTTTCTTAGAAATTAAAAAAAAGAAGAAAACAGTTGAATTTACTTGCACTCAGTAAGTTTGCATTGGTGACTTTATCGCAAAATGAAAAATTACCCAAAAAGTGGTTTCTTGTGAAAATAATTAAAGTACGTAATTGATTATTAATTGTATATAATTGATTGATCAATAGTGAATTTATATGAACTTTTATTTATAATTATTTCATATTTAGATAATTATTTATACTAGTAATTATTTTTATACCAAAATTTTGGCTTTTGCACAGTTNATATATATATATATGAAATATAGGTATTATTATTATAACTGGCATTGAACCCTCTACTCTCTTATAAGTATGTGACCTTGACCAAATTCCTTTCTTACCACCTTTACAACGTTTTTGATTATATTTAATGAAAAAGTAAGTCATAATCTCAATTCTTTTATTTCCTAGAATATCGAACTGGTTTACACTTTCATTTTTAAATGCAATATGAATGAAGGGTTTTACTAATATTTTCTAACTTTCTTCAAGTTTTTGGAATCTTGTTATTTTTTACATGCAGTCTTTATATAACATATAATGATTTTGCATGAAATGAATGTTTCCTTTTACTTTTTTTAAACTATTTATTGTTTTTTATTTTACAGCAAATTTTTTAAATGTTGTTGGAAATGAAAACTTAGAAATTAAAGGAAAATTTATTGCCGATCTTGGTTGTGGCTGCGGAAATCTTGCTATTGGAGCTTCTTTATTTGGTGCAGGGTAAATATAACTTTTATATATTTATTATTTTATGTTAACAATTTTATATGGTCACTTGCCAAGACGTAATACCCAATTCTCAGGGACCAGCAAATCTCTATCACCATGTTGCCCAGGAAACTAGAAAAGTTCTCTTGGCTACTAACCTTTTCAATGTATTATTTTGCTATTTATGTTATTAGCTCTTTTTCATCAAGAACCTTTGTATAAAATTTTTTTTTGAAAATCTGCATTATGACAGCAACAACCGTTAATCGGTTTCACTTGTAATATGCCACATGTTTATTTTTTTTAAACAAGATTCATAGTTCTCCGTCTTCTCCTGATTTTCCTTATGCTCTATATTCTGTCTTTATTGTTCTAATTTTCAGCATTTTGTCCTGATTATTATTATTATTATTATTATTTTTTGTAGAGAATATACCATTTCGACAAACACGCAATTTAAAAAAAAATCATTTGGATTTTTTTAAACTTTTGTTTCACTGGGAAAGAAATAAGAAAAAGTATACATATCAGTGTCAAAACTAGTATGCTTTCATTCAAGAGGTGAAATTCAAAGCGTATTTCTAATGAAAAGAAACCATGTGAAAAAACCCATTCCTTATTGTCCCCTTTTCTTCAGAAGACTGAACAAAAAGTTTCTTAATTACCCCACCCTTTTTACTGAATAATTATACATTTTTGTCATTTTATACCTCTTATCATTATAAGTCAGTAACATGCATTTGATCTTGAGTTAATGCTCAGTAGGTGTCTCACACATACAAAGATTACTGAAGACGAACCAAGGCTCCTATTCTAGAAAATATTCTTAGTTTATTTATTGCATTGCAAGTTTATAGACGTAAGTCTATTATAAATTAACTATTTTTTTGGACCAAAAATGATCTGTGATTATTGAACATATTCAAGGAGTTCAACCTTGTGTGTCGTTTTTGTTTCTTTTATAGGCATTTAACATTATTGGAACTGAGATGATCTTTTTCTTTTTTCTTTTCTAAAAGAAGATACTGGAGTGCCTCTTTTCTGCCCCAAGTGACAAATTTTTTTTTCTCTGAATCTCTTGGATTTTGCATAATTTTTGTTTAAAATAAAAATTTCTAGTTATCACTAGAAGTTTTTATTATCTAAAAATATGAATTAATAATGTTGTATTACACTCTATTTTCAGTTTCAGTCAATCATTTTTATTATTGTTATTATTTTAATTTCATTAGTTATGAAAATAGTCACATTAAATTCAAAGATTATTTTTGATTCACTTATTTTTCCCTTACTTTTGATTGTATATTTTTGCAGTTGCATTTCAATTCTTAGTTGTTTTGGAAAGCTTATAGAATTTTTTTTATTCTATTTAATAATGATAAAACTTATAATTCTTAAAAAATATAAGTAGGAGACAGTTAAATTTTTGGGACCATCCACTAATTATTTATCATTTAAATTTATAATCTTGTTTAAAAGTCTTTTAGTTATCTTATAAAAAATAAACTCAGCACTTTTGCAGCCAAATTTTTTTTCTTCATATGTTTGGTCCTTAATTAGAAAATTATTTTAAAGATCAACTTATTAAAATTTTTTAATGTAATTTTATTTTGTTAAGCCGATCAAATTGAAATGAAAGCTTTGTTTTTAATTTCTTGCTGGTTTCATTTAATGGTTTAATTTCTGGATTATTTTTCTTTTTATTTTGAAGATTACAATGCATTTTGTTTTCTTTTCATTTTGGTATACATTTATTCTTAAAAATGTAGATTAATATAAGTTTTTTTCAAGTAATTTATTGTTTGTGAAAGTAAATAAAATATTGAAAATAATTAAAATCACCAGTTTTCTTTTAAACTTATTTGATCTAACTTTCTATCAAGAAATATGTTTCTGAAGTCAAGAAAACTCAGGTTCAAAGATTTTTTACCATTTGTACGCATGCATGAACTTGCCCCATTTTCTTAAAATCATTTTGGACCAACTTGTTCCTACCTTAATTTTTTTATTTAAAAACGCTAAGTGTTTCCTATTTTTTTAATGTTTTTTAATGAATTAAAAATAATACCAGACAAAACAAAATTTTCAATGCAGTCGATTAAAATATTTTTTTTAGCCCTTCATTTCCCTTTGCTGAAAACAGTATGTATTGCACGGAAAAATGACCTGATTTTTATTTTGAATCAATATAAAGCCTGTTTTAATTACACATAGCTAAGTTGCCAACCATATAAAAAAGACGAAAAGAAAAACAAAGGAATAATTTAATTAAAATTATGTTAATAGTACTTTTAGAAAATGTGCTTTTTTTTTTATTTAGAAAAACGTGTCTACTTATTTTGTATTTAACCTGTCATTCACTTATGAGAAGTTAGCATTAAAGACCTAATCATTAAGTTAAAACACAAGTTCTTGACAGCAAAAAAATTGTTGTTTCTACCTATTTGCATTCTAATGTCCTCATGGCTAAGACAGATCCCTTTACTGATAAAATTTCCAAAAATGATCTAGCATAAAAGAAGGTAGAAACCACAACTTGTTTGTAGTTCACATCTTTTGACAAGACCTATGCTTTTGTTGTAAGTATATATTAAACTGTACTTACTTAACAACTTTTATCTTAACAGTTTCATTTTGTTTTGTTTAAGAGGCTTGTTATCTTTAACAATTGTTTGATTTTTCAGAGCTTGCATTGGTTTTGAAGTAGATTCAAGTGCTTTAGACATTGCTCTGAGAAACAAAGATGAGGTTGAATGTGATAATGTTGATTTTGTTCAATGTGATGTTATGGACTTGGAAGACTCAAAATGGAGGAAAGTGTTTGACACAGTTATCATGAATCCGCCATTTGGTACAAAAAATAATAAAGGTTAATAAACATGTTTCTTTATAATTACATTTTTACTTAAATTAATGTTCTGATGATATTTTTATCAGGTTAAAAAAATCGATTTAAAAAATGTGCAATATATAGAGTTGTACTGTTTACTGCCTGCTTACTGCTTTGGAAACTAGATAATTTATTTTCACTAAGTTTTAAAATTAGGTTTGAAATTCATCAATCAATGACTTCACTAACTGAAAAAAAAATCCTATAAAACAATGCTTTAAAAATAACTCCATTTACTTGGCACAGTTTGAGGGCAAAATTAATAGAAATTCAGGCAAAAAGTATATTTGGAATTTTCTCACATGTAGCGAGAAGCATTGTTTTATATATTTTCCAATAATCAATGCCATTTCTTAATTAGTTTTATAACTGAATATTTGAGAGAATAAATACCTATCTTAAGTTAATTACAGCAAACTGTACATTTTTGGCTCTTTTTTCTTCTTTTAATTGATTTTTCTAATGGTTCACTTTGAGACACCTGCTATACAGCAAAAAAATGATAATGAACTTGTTTGAATAATCATAAAATGAAATTAATCTTTTATATTAGTTACTAATTTGTATTTGTATTAATGATTATTATTGCAATTATTTGATGTTAAAGTTAAAAATATAGGGCACGTTAATTTACTGTTATTCAACAAATAAATAAATAAATAAAATAAAAATAATATTTTCATAAATTTCAATATTAATTAAAACATCTGTCTTTAATATTAATGTTAATATTAAAGACAAATACCATGTGAATTACAGATTTTGGTTCTGAGTAAAAAGACAAATAATGTATTGAATCCATAATTTTCAACCTCTGGCTCCCAGTTCTTTTTTTCTTCTTCTATTTTTAAAATGTTTTAATTGATAGTTTAAAAAAAATGGAACTTTTTTTTTTTTTAGTTATAAAGGATTCTGGAATTATGTTTATTACTAATAGTAATGCATTGACATTGAAACAAATGACGTATTAAATATCACGAGAATATGTAAAGTTTGTACTAATTATATGTCTCCTTACTCAACTGTCTCATTTTTATTATTTATATAAATATTTATTGTTTTTTTTTAAAAAAAAATTAGATTTTACCTTATTATGTTATATTTTTTATATAAGGTAAGTCTACATCCAAGTAAATCATACTATTTTTTTCTTTTTTGTAAAATAGTGACTCTTAAAACAAACATTCAAACTTTAGAAGTGTGAAATATTCTTTTTTTAATTGTTGAAGAATAGTTCTTCATTTTTATTATATTGTCAGATAAAATTTGAAGATTGGCTTTAACTTATTTAAATTTTTTTTCTTTTTAAATAAAATGTTTACATATTTGTGTTCTTTTATATCCTTAATATTATTTTATGTCCACAATTGAAATGTTTTGTTTGGTGGTAATGTTCAGATTTATGGTGCAGTGGTTAAAGCACCGTGGATGTGTAAGACCAGGATTCTTTTCCCCACTTACGGTTAAAGCATTCTCAATTTTAGATCGATGAGAACCAGGAACCAGCTTGTTTGGGAATTAAAGAATTCTAACAAGCTGATGACAATTTGATCAACAAATTGCCACCATCATACTGTTGTCTTGAAATCTAAGAGCATTATGCTATATGAGTAACCACTGGCTGTTGCAGGAGTATTTTACTCTCGCTATATTTTTATGATATTATCTAACAAATTAAATTTATGTTAACTTTGTTTTTCATACATAACATTTCTAAATTTTTCTGGCGGCTTATCTGATTTTGAAAGAAATATTTGATTTACGGAATTGTGGAAGACTCTCATTTCTAAGACTCTCATTTTAAAATGGATAGATTTATTTTGTTTTACTTCGGGTCTGTTTTTATTTGAGGTGCAAATGTATTTCATGTGCTTGCCAACCTTCTTTTTATTTTGTGTCTTCAGATCTAAGAGTTTTTATTTTTTTAAAATTTTTTCTTCTTCATAAAGCTGTTTTGTAGCAATTTTTTTTTACACAATTTTCAAGCAAGGGTGTTTTTATTTCTACTGATCCTTGATTTATTTTTCTCTCAAAAAGATTTTTATAATGTTCTTGTTTCTCATTTTTGATTTTTAATTTTTTTAAAATGAAATCTCAGAATCTTAAATTTTCAGCTTTTGATTCTCAGTTGTTTCTAACAGAATTTCAGGTTCTTAAAATGTTCAATATTTATGGGTGTCATTTTTTCAGAAACTGTCAGATTTTTTAAATGTTCTCCTTTTAGCATTCTGGAGAAGATTTTTTGAAAAACTTTTGCTTCCTGTTCGATAATTTATGTCAAATTAAAGTGTGTGTATAGTCTTTTTTTAATTAACTTCCTTGTTTTTCTCAGAACTTGATGACATGTTACTTTCATTTTGGCTTTTCATTATATTCCAAATAAAACTATATCTGAGTTAAAAATTGTCTTATTTCCTATTGAATTTAATTTTTATTTATTATCATTTTTTTATTCATTCACCTAAATACTTTATATAAAACTTGCAATATATTTTATATCATCTTCATGAGTGTGATTTTTAGTTCTAAAAAAATTATTAAGTTTTATCAATTGTGTTAACCTTTGCTTTTATTGAATCAATACGATTTGTGTATTTTTACCAATTAAATTAGTACAATTCAAAAAAAGAAAAAAGAAATTAAACCAATAATTGTTCTCCTATTTTTCAATTTTCTTTTTGAGGCTTGGATTCTTCATTTATGCCATTTTATTTTTACTATTTTATGTTTAAAGCTACATACAAAACTTTGCCAAGTTGGGATTCAAACTGCAAGTTCGAATATTTAAAACTGTGTAATTTACAAAAACTAGTAAATAGCTCAAATTTTTCAATATTTTAATGAATTCAATTCATTAGCTTACTTTTTAACATTTTTTAAAATTTTATATGCAATATTGAACATTCTAAATAAAATGTGCTGATATTTTTTTCCAATGTTTATACTTAAATATACAGCATTATGATCTAATTAAAAGTTATATTTCAAGTGAAATATTTGTTACGATTTAGTAATGTGCACTCACTTTTTATAGAGTACTGTATAAAGCAATTTATATATATTTTTAAAGCAAGTCAAAATGTCGTTATTTATTTATAGTACAATTACATTGAAATATACTGATCTTTTTCTTTTATATTTTTCATTTGACTAAAAGAATATCTTAGTTTCTTTGTTAAGTTTGTTTCATATTTGTTCTTTGTTGTTTAAAACTATTTTTTGTTTTGTTTTAAACAAAAGATATACTTATTTCTTTTAGTGTAAAATAGTGTTTAATAATTTAACTGTTAAAGTGTTTGAATTCTGTGAAACAATTTAGTTTATTTATTTATGAAATTTATTAAATAATATGAAATTGGAGCCATAGTTGCTTAAGATTAAATCTTTTAATAATTTAAAATTAAGTTCTTTATCTCATATTAGTTACCTTATTTTGTTTTATCATTTTGCTCTTACTGTACATAACTGCTCTTAATATGTTGTATTTTTTTTATTTATCTTTTTGTGTTGTTCTGAAAGGGTTGAAAGAAATTCAGATTTCCTTAAATGGTTTCTATTTTTGTATTATGCATTTAAAATCATAAACTGAATTTTTTTTAATAAGATATGAAGTAGCCTATTATTGTTTAAAAGTTAATTCATTACTGTGTATGATTTTTATGTTAATGCATTGCAAATGATAAAAATAGAAAAGAATCTCTAAACTTATTATGAGGTATATCTGAAAAATCATCCAATTATGGAGTATAATTAAATTAATAATATTTAATTAAATTAAATTATTAAATTAATACTAATAAAATTAGCATTAAATTCTAACTAAATTTAATTTTTTTAAAGATACATTTTATATAGAATATAGCTGTCTGTTTATTTATGCATATCCACATTTTTTGCTCCATGACTACATCAAATATAATTGAAGTTTGAAGATCCCACTACAATAACAATTCAAATGTTATCCATCGCTCTTCATTGATATTGTTACTGAAATCATTGTACTATAAAAATTTGAAAATTACTGACCATTACTATTGTTTTTAGAGATCACTGGGAAATAGTAATTGTTTCGATTATTATTGAAGATCCCATGCAGTAACTGTTTTAAATCTTATAACCATTGCTGACTAATATTGTTATTGAAAATCACTGTACAATAACAATTTCAAAAGTCATTGTTGATTATTACTATTATTAAAAAGGTTTCCTTTCATTAAAGGATAAGCAAAAGTTCTAAATCCTCATATTTATATAACTATTTTTTTTTATAGGAATAGACATGAAATTCTTACGGACTGCTTTATCACTGGCCAGAACTTCTGTTTACAGCTTTCATAAAATAGAAACTTTAGAAGTAAGCTAATTGTTTTTGTATTTTCTTCACTTTTTTCCACATTGTTTTTAATTAGTTATTTCAAAAGCATTTCCAAGAATTGGAGCATTAAAAATAAATAAATAATTCATTTTCTGTTATTCAGAAATTAAATTTATTGTTCCTTCAATTTCCATAAATAATTTAAACTTTATACAAAATAAAACTGTATATTTTTCCAATTTTAATGAAAAATTCATTCATAAACATTTTATATTTATATTACAGTGGAACCCCAATTTTCTTTTTTCCATTTCGTATGTTATATAGCTTTCTACATCTTTTTCTGCTGGTCCGTGAGAATCGCCTATACTGATAATGTTAAATTATCCTGGATTTTGCGTTATCCTTTTTAAGAATCAATTCCGCTTTAATATGTTTTTCTAACAGATCAGAATAATTTTTTCTCCACAAGAGTCGCACAAACATTTTTCAAGTTCATTCTTTTCATTTTTTTTTAAGAGAGAGAGAGACATGGTTATTGGTTGTTTGAAGCTGTTCTGACAATTTTTTTATTCTATCTCTTTGTTCTTTTGTCTGTGAGAGGGGATTTCTCCCTTGATTCAAAATCAGAAAGGTAGTTTGATGGGTAAAGCCCAAGAAGGGTTGTTAAAGTAAGTGCAAAAGCTTAAAATGTCAATTTTTCGCGTAGAATTTTTTTTAGCTAACTTCAATCTTTTTATCTTAGAATAATCCAATCATTTAAAGAACGTTACACTAAACAACTGGTTAGGCAATCTTTTCTTTCTTTCGATTCGGGTGACTTGCAAGATGCTTTTAAGAAGCTTAAGATTCTCTTTTACTCTTTATAGGACCACTTTTTTCTAGTAATGTTAGGTTAAAATTTTTATGGGATTCAGAATTATTTATAAGAAGAATTTCCCTATGTTTATAACATAAATAATTAATTTGACTTCTAAGACCATTTTTTTCTGATGGAAAGCCGGCTAGAATTTTTCAAAATTTCATCTGCTGTAAAGAATTGATCATAAGCATCTGTGCTTATAAAGAGTCAAATTTATAAATTCTGTGTTTATAAATCCAAAAAAATAAATAAAAAATAAATGAGAAATGATCAAATGAACAAACACCTCATACACAAGAGAGAATAGCTCTCCAGTGTCAGCTTTACTTCTTGGCCTTATAATAATCTTTACTGTTACCAATATTAATGTTCTTAAAGCCCTTTTTGGTATTTTTTTTTGTATTTTCTGAAATTATCAATAGATGGTTGCTCAAATCATAGGTGGGAAAAAAACGTCACATCAACATTTAAAAATTATTGAATTTTGTGGGAAATATAATTCCTATGCCTTATGAAAGGATAATAGGAGTTTTTTTTAAATATTTTTTTAAACTAGAAAAATTGTTATTAATGAATAGCAGTATGCAAAATGTAGTTTGACTGTGTGTAGTTTATGTATGAGGTATTTATTATTACGTGTTAAAATAATATATTTATTGATAGTGATTTTAAAAAAATATTATTATAGAGTTTGACTAAAGAGGTGTATTTCTTGATAAAATTTCCTATTTTATTTAGCAAATTTTACTGAATAATTTTTAAGTTCTGTAACAAAGGGATTTTTTGCATTAAAAAATTTAATTAAAAAAAACATTTTGCATAAATCTAATCTTACTAAAATTTATTATAATTTGTTTGATCAAATCTAAGTATTACTAATGTTTAATATTGAAAACATCTTGAAAAAGTTCTCATTTTTCCTGAGTGATATTCCAGTATATTTTCCTTTATCATTTAATTAATTTTTTATTGTAATTTTGTTAGATATTTTGTTTTGACTGTGCAATTTTTAAATATTTTTTTAAAAGTTTATTTGTTGTATATCTTCGTTAAATAAAAGTTTACTCATATCGATTATAGGAAGGCCTTTGTGACAAAAAGCAATAACCCTTATTTTGGTTATTACACTACTAGAGGTTTTTTGTGTACTTTACAAATAATTAGATTTATTTTTCATGAAATATATTTGCCGTTATATATTTTAGATTAAAAAACTTATAGCTAAGCATTATCCATCTATCCATGCAGAATGACAGTTTTTGTGATATGATTTATACATTACGTAGTTTTTTTAAAAGGTGCTATAAGGTTCTTATTTTTGATTTTCGTTTTTTAAAAGCCCCTAAAGGTGCTTTTTTCACAGGGTGTTTTTAAAAAGTGCTTTTTTTCCCTTTCCAAAATGAAATATTTTATCTTTACCATATTTATTTTCGCCACAAATTATGCAAAATAACATTGTTCTATTCAACGTTTTCACACTTAATTCAACCTCAATCTATTTCGTCTAGCTGTAAGTCCATAGCGTATGAAAACGTCATTCGTTTTACATGTTTGATTAAATACTTGCGGGTCTGCATGTGCATATACTGAGCTGGATTCAGTGAGATTCTTCCACTCTCATGTGCAACTTTGCTGCATTTTGCAAGATATTCTGAATTTCAGGATTCAGTTAGTTTTGAATTGATAATTTAAAAATACTTCATACTTATAATAGGTAATATCCTTATGCCAAAATTAAAGTACTTAAACATATTTTTTTGAGTGCCTAAAAGGTGCTTATTTTTTGTTGAAAAATTTGGCTATGCACACTGTTATAGTAGAAAAGTGAAATGTTTATAGGATGTTATACTTTTTATTGTATCATGATTTGTGTTATATGGGTTCATTTATGTGTGTTTATTTAAGGGGTGTTTCTTTTTCAGCACATAAAAAGAGTGGCTTCATCTTGGAATGTTGATGTGACACCTTGCTATGAAGTTAAGTTTAACATCCCACACAGTTACAAAAGGCATCGTCTTGTATCAAAAGATGTTAGTGTAGCACTTCTTAGGTTTAGTTTTGCGAAACAAAGAAATGTATTATAATGTAATGTTACTTGTTGTTATATTTTATTAAAAACTATTTTATTAATTTTCATTTGTGTTTTATAATTGAGTAAACAACACAAATAAAAAGAAGCACTTTGTATGACATTCAATTAAATAACTGTGTCTCAAATTTTTACAAATTAAAATTTTTATATCTAAAGAAGGTCACCTAAAATATGTAGATTCATTCACCCTTTCTATTAGAGTTAGAAACATTTTTTAGTTAATTGGGCAATCAAATAGTTTTTTTTTAGCTTAACATATCCTGTTGCTCATTATTTGGTTTGAAGTAAATTTTTTAATTAACAGACCTTAATTAGCTTAAAAAGTTTATTTAAATTTTTTAAATCAAAAATCTAAATTATTTTTAAAAACTTTTAAACCTTGTTTGTATAAAACAAAAGTTAAATAAAGTGTCAGAATGTAAGTTCTGAACAAAAATTGAGCCATAAAAACTATATATATTAGATGCAACAAATTAATGTTTGAGTGAGAGGAAAAAAGTCGTTTACAAACCTGGTCAATCATTTTTTTGTGCAGGAAGAGCAAAGATGAAATTAAAATTATCCAAAACAAATTTAAAAATCAAAAGAGACTGGAATGTATTTTCTTTCTGCTTAGCGATGTCTCTTAACTTTATTCTCACATAAACAGGATTTAGCTGTTACTTTATCTGCACTGCCCTATAATACTGGAAGAGATAGTTTCAGTTTTTGAAATATTTTTAAATTTTCTCAGGGAAATACTCAGATGATTATTTTAAAACCTTTAGAGATATTTAATTTATGTGATTTTTCATACATAGTAATAAGGTTTAAAGCTTTGATGAACAGACAATAAATTAAGAAAGAAAACAAGTACTTTTGTAAAAGCTATACCAAAAAAATTAAGCAATAAGCTTCTAACTTGTATTGATTACTTTGGATGTTATTTGCAAAAATTGCATAAAATTTCATAAACTTGGTTTAAATATTTATGGAGATATAGACATTTTTAAAAGAAACTATATTCTTTGTCTTGCTTTTTTTAGCTATAACTTTATAAATATTCAATAAAGTTAAACAAAATTTTTGGAGTAGATTAAAATTAATTAAAAAATTATTGTTTTTAAAGTTTAAAAAAAGATTTGTTACAAATTGCATAAGATATGAGCATTTAAAGTAGTTCTTTTATATTGTGTGCGCAGAAAAAATTTAAGATTATTTTTTCATAAATTTGCAGTGAATCATATTTGGCAACTAATGAAAAAAGTGTGATTTAAATATCTTTAAAACGTAGAAAGTTTTGACTAATTTTCTTAGTAGTTTTTGTGTTTTTTAATATAAAGCTCAGAATGATCAAGGATTTTCCACAAATATTTTTATGTAGTATAGCAAATCACACCACCCTATAGTAACCAGACAGCAGGAACAAAATTAAATTGTGGAAACCCCCTTATCGTTTTGAGATTTCTTTTAAAAAGTACAAAAACTACTTACAAAATTGCTCAAAAGATATATAAATCAGAATTTTTCATTAGTTGCCAAATACTACTACAAAAAGAAAATTTTTTTTAATTAATTAATTTTTTTCCCCCTGCACAGTATAAAAGAATTACTTTAAGTATTAAATATCTTGTGTAGTTTTTAAAATTTTTTTTTTCAAATTTCAAAATAATTTCGTAATTGATTTTAAATTGTTTCAAGAACTCTGTTTCATTTCATTGAATATTTTTAAAGTTATAGCAAAAAGATAGGATTATTTATTTATTTATTGTAATAAAAATCTTCATATGTCCATGAATATTTAAGAGAAATTTACGAAATTTAATGCAGCTATTACAAATAACCGAAGTAATCGATGCAAGCTTATTCCTTGATTGTCTGGCATAGGGTGTTCAAAAATACTTCTTTTCATTCATAAATTAATTTATTTTCTTCTGCTAAGTATGAGTTACTGCCTGAACTAAACAATTCTGAAGTTGCAAAACAAAATTTTAAATATTTCTTAAGATATTAAAAAAAAAAAAAAAATCTAAAACTGCAAGTGTCTTTTCCATTATTGTAGGGTAGTGTATGTATATATATCTATACATAATAATAAAAGCGGCTGTGTGTGTGTGTGTGTCTGTAATCACAATATATCGCCCCAGAAGCCTCGCCCGGGCACGAAACTCGGCCCATAATTGTGTTTTGACATAATGAAGAAGTATTTTTTTTCTTTTTCAAAAATTTTGATTAGTTATTTAGTTATCAGTCATTTTGTAAGTCTATGCTTTTCGTCTGCTTTTTCGTCTTCAAAGAGCCATATTCAAAAAACTATTAAAAAATGCATATACTTTTCCCCACTCTTATAAATGTATGCTAATGCGAACCTCACAATTGAAATATTAATTTTCGACAACTTAAACCAATAATATACGAAGGAATTAATAATTTAATTGTAAAGTTCGCATTAGTTTACATTTATTAAAGTGGAGAAAAGTTTAACTTTTGTATTAAAAATGTGGCAACATATTCGATACGTAAATAGAACGCTTCGCTTTGATATATTTGTCGCTGTTCATAATTGTTATAATAAGTTTTTCTTCTTCTTTCCACGCTCTTTTTTTTTTTTCTTAAGCGAAGACGATAATTTTTATAGCGATATTGTAGTACTTTGTACAACTAAAAATTCTTTTCACAACACTTTAAAAATATTTACTTTATTTTCTTTATATATACAGAGAACAGTCGGCAAAGAATTCGATTAGGTTGAAAAACATTTCGCTAAAAAGGAACGAATTCCAAAAGAAAAAATAAACAACTTAAAGAATAAAAATGCTGATGCCAGCCAATTTTTTGAAAGTTAACTTAGAAATAACAAACCAAACGATGTTAAATAACAAACCAAACGATGTTAACAAAATGACGTAGAAAGCGCAACTAGATCAAAATTATACAAGCACAACTAGATCAAATTATAATACCTGAGTGCTTGACGTAACAGATATAGAAATAGAATTTGATACCATAAAAAATTATATAGAAATAGAAATTGATACCATAAAAAATTTATTCGTTTTCGTGTTCTTTTCATGTATTTAGCATTTTAGTTTTTTTTTTCTTAAGCGTTGTAGCTATATAATTTCAAACATCCTCAAGAGCTATAACACATCTGCAGCAGAACTGGATATGAAGACAAAATTGCAGGACAGGAACACTTCAATTGTCCACTAATCTTCAGATTACCAGCTATGTTTTAAAAAACTTTATTTGTGAAAACCTTCAGCGTGGCGGACAGATGGCCGCCTTAGGCGGCTAGTATATATATAAAGATGAAAATAAATATATCACAATTTAAGAATCTTTTTCACAAGAATACTATCATAACCTTTACACAGGCGCCAGAAGGCGAACGAAAAAGAGGCAGATCTATGCTAACTTTGAGAAAGCAAATAGAAAAAGAATGGAGGCAGGTGGAACGGACAGGTTGGTCTGATGTGCGATCGTATGCTGCTGACAGAATGGGCTGACGCAGGAAGCTAAGGGCCTTGTGAGCCATTGGCACGAAGAGGATAAGTAAATGATTTGCACATTTTAACTTCTGTTATAATTTTGAAAGGATTTTGCCCTTTTTTTCTCATTTAAAGATGAAATTGCAACCTATTTTTTTATTACTTTATTTTCTGTAAGGTTTCAGAAAATGCATAGTAAACGCGGTCACAATAATATATGTGCCATTTCGCTTCTTTTGTCATCGACTCTTAGTATTCATTTTATAACGAAATTATAAAAGATGCCTGATATACATAGTATTTTTTAAATCACTGCCTTAGTTTATATACTTAGAGTCAATCTTAAAAATTACATAAAATATAAAAATCTACTCATTTGAAATCGTCGATAAATATGTAAATGAAAAAGTTAAGTTAGTAAACGTTTCATCAGTCAAATAATATGTTGTTTGAATGAATTCTTGGGAATATGATTTTCTCTTATTTAAATATTAATTTTGTGGCTTTAAATTTCATTTTTGAAATATTTATCCTAAAAAAAAAGCAAGGGTAGTGTTTTTTAAAATCTTAAATATTCCTTACTCAATACATCATATAATGATCAATATACTTTTGATAAGTCCGAAAAAAGAAAGTCTTGAAGATTTAATTGTATTTTTTCTATGTGTGACTTTTTCTGCTTCAGAATTTTTTTTCTTTACTTTGTCTCTTTACTTTAATTTATTATTATTTTTTTTATTTTACAGATTACCAATGTGTTACAATATTTTTTGTCCAATTTATTACACCTAGTTTAAAGAGTTTAACAATTGTTGAAAGACATTAACATCTTTATTTGAAAAAATCATAGTGCAAAAAAGTGCTTTTAATGTGTAAGATATTTTAAGCACTAAACTGCTAAAATTTTTTATTGTTTTAAATTTGATCTTTACTTTTTTGTAAGATGTTTAGTTTCATTTTATAATTTTTTTATTTTACAAATTACTGATGTTTTACATTCTAGAATATTTTTTGTCATATTTATTATATCTAATTTAAAGAGTTTAACGATTGTTAAAAGATATTTAAGTTTGTTTTTGAAAAATCCATGTGAAAAAAAAAAGTATTTTTAATGTAAAAGATATTTTAATAATTAAACTGCCAAAAATTATTATTGTTTTAAATTTAATCCTTGCTTTGTAAGGTGTTTGGATTTAAATTTATTATTTTAAAAGTTTCCAATCTTTTACATTCTTGAATGCTTTTTGTCATATTTATTCTATCTAGTTTAAAGAGTTTAACGGTTGTTAAAGGATATAAAAAAAATTTTTTTTTGAAAAATTCTTAGTTAAGTGTTCCTAATGAGTTCTTATTGTAAGCACTCAACTGCTAAGAATTATTATTGTGTTAAATTTAATCTTTATTCAGAAGCCATTTCATTAATTAAAAAAAAAGTCAATAACAAAATTGTTTTAACCTTTGTTAAGTACATAAAGGAAACATTTGCTCCGTACATTTTTTTTATTTCATTCGATAATCTTCCTTTTTTAATGTCACTTCTATTTACGAGGGAGAAATATCGTTATGTACTAGGG